GCCCTGGTTGTGGCCTCGCCTTTCTCTCCTGGCCTTCTGCTGGGTGTTGGCTCCGTATCCCACTGTTCTGCGTCTGCCTTTCCTCCAGTCTCCTCTTCTCCTTTCCCACCTGTTTCTGGGTTTCCATCTTGCCATCTTCTTGTGTCCCAGCTCTTTTCTTGTCTCTGGAGTCCTCAGTGTCTGTGCCTTATTCCTTCTCTGTGTCTCCACCTCTTGCTGTCATCTTTCCCATCCTCTCCTGATTCCAAATTCTGTGTTCCCTGCTTTTGCTTAGATCCTTGCTGTTAGGTCTTGGTCCTCCCCTGCCCCACTCTGGGGACACAGCTCACCCCAGCCTGTGGGTGCCCTTCCCCACAGATCATCCAGCTGACTCCAGTGCCCGTGAGCACACCCAGCGGCCTGGTGCCGCCCCTGAGCCCGGCCACGCTTCCTGGACCCACCTCGCAGCCCCAGAAAGTTCTGCTGCCCTCCTCCACCAGGTAATTGCAGCCAAGCCCTCACTGGGAGGCCAGGGAAGGGGTGGGGTGGGGCAGCTCACCTCACTCCTCCCCGTTTCCTCTCCCTGCGGCAGAATCACCTACGTGCAGTCAGCGGGCGGGCACGCGCTGCCTCTGGGCACCAGCCCTGCGTCTAGCCAGGCTGGAACAGTCACCTCGTACGGGCCCACGAGCTCTGTAGCTCTAGGCTTCACCTCGCTGGGGCCCAGTGGCCCCGCCTTCGTTCAGCCCCTGCTCTCAGGTGAGGGTGGCCTGGCAGGCAGCGCTGGGACCCAGGGTGGGGCTGAGGCAGGCTGGGCCCTAACTCGGTCCTCTGTCTCTTCTTCTCTGTCTCTCTCAGCAGGCCAAGCCCCGCTGCTGGCTCCTGGCCAAGTGGGCGTATCGCCTGTGCCCAGCCCCCAGCTGCCGCCTGCCTGCGCAGCCCCCGGGGGGCCCGTCATAACGGCATTTTATCCTGGCAGCCCTGCACCCACCTCCTCAGCACCCCTGGCCCAGCCATCCCAGGCCCCTCCAAGCCTGGTCTACACTGTGGCCACCAGCACCACCCCGCCTGCTGCCACCATTCTGCCCAAGGGCCCGCCGGCCCCTGCCACAGCCACCCCAGCCCCCACTAGCCCTTTCCCCAGTGCCACAGGTGGGTGTCATAGCAACACAGGGCAGGGTGAGTTGGGGAACCCAGGGCCTGGGCTCCAGGCAGGCCTGGCTCAGCAAATGCTCTTCTGCCTACACACAGGGTCCATGACCTACAGCTTAGTGGCCCCCAAGGCCCAGCGGCCCTGCCCAAAGGCCCCCCAGAAAGTGAAGGCGGCCATCGCCAGCATTCCTGTGGGCTCCTTTGAGGCAGGTGCCTCTGGGCGGCCTGGCCCTGCACCCCGGCAGCCTCTGGAGCCTGGCCCAGTCCGCGAGCCAACCGCCTCAGAGTCTGAGCTTGAGGGCCAGCCCACACCACCAGCTCCTCCACCGCCCCCAGAGACCTGGACTCCCACGGCCCGGAGCAGCCCCCCGCCACCCCCGCCTGCTGAGGAGCGGACCAGCGCCAAGGGCCCCGAAACCGTGGTGAGTGTCTGCAGGCCGTGGGGCACCTGCTGGTGCCTGGCTTTGCCCCTCAGTCCGCTGTCCTTGCATTTTTGTCCTGCTCCTCTTCGCCCCACTGCCTGTGTATCCCTCAGCTTAAATGGTCCTCTCTGTCCCTCCTGCCTGCCTGTGTTGTACCCCTACTCATCCAAGGTCCACGTTTTGGCCTCCCCAAGTCTGTGACTGGGTCTTCTCCAGGGCTCTGCGTGTCGGGCTGTCTCAGCATTCACCTTCGGTCCTGGCCTTCGCCACGGTGAGGCTGAGCTCAGTGTTCTCCATCCCCACCTGTCTCCACCCCAGGCCAGCAAATTCCCCAGCTCATCTGCAGATTGGCGTGTCCCTGGGCAGGGCCTGGAGAGTCGTGGGGAGCCTCCCACCCCTCCCAGCCCGGCCCCAGCTCCAGCCACAGCCCCTGGTGGCAGCAGCGGCAGCAGCGAGGGCAGCAGTGGGAGGGCGGCCGGGGACACTCCTGAGCGCAAAGAGGCGGCTAGTACTGGCAAGAAGGTGAAGGTGCGGCCCCCGCCCCTGAAGAAGACCTTTGACTCTGTGGACAAGTGAGCATGGGCTGGGGCCTTGGTGGAGCGTGAGGGGTGGTGGGAGCAGGGGCGGCTGCAGGCCAAGGCGGGGGAGGTGACCCTGCCAACTCTCCAGCAGGGTCCTGTCAGAGGTAGACTTCGAAGAGCGCTTCGCTGAGCTGCCTGAGTTCCGGCCTGAGGAGGTGCTGCCCTCCCCTACCCTGCAGTCTCTGGCCACCTCGCCCCGGGCCATCCTGGGCTCTTACCGCAAGAAGAGGAAGAACTCCACTGGTAGGCGAGCGCCGGGCACCCGGGGCAGGTAGGTGGGGGAACAGACTGGGGCCACCTCTGCTGAACCCGCTTTTGTTTGACCAGACTTGGACTCGGCGCCCGAGGACCCCACCTCGCCTAAGCGCAAGATGAGGAGACGCTCCAGCTGCAGCTCAGAACCCAACACCCCCAAGAGTGCCAAGTGCGAGGGGGACATCTTCACCTTTGACCGTACAGGTGCGGGTGCCGTTGGGGGCAGAGCTGTGGGGGCCCCGGGGATGGGGTGTGGTCTTGGGGAGGCAGAGAGTGGGAGAGGTGAGTTGAGTGTCACCGAGAGGAAGCACAGCAGGTCAAGAGTGGGTTCTGGGGCCCAGCAGGCCCCTAAAGTTGCCATGTGACCTTGAGCAGGTCCCTTCTCTAACCCCTGTGTGAGACAGAATTCAGCCAGGGCTTGAGTGGACACTCAGATGGTGGCGCGGTGGCCCAGGCTGCTGCTGCAGCCTTGACCACGCCCCCTGTGCAGGTACAGAAGCCGAGGATGTGCTGGGGGAGCTGGAGTACGAAAAAGTGCCATACTCGTCACTGCGGCGTACCCTGGACCAGCGCCGGGCCCTGGTCATGCAGCTCTTCCAGGACCACGGCTTCTTCCCATCAGGTGAGCGTGTCCCAGAGTTTTGGGGTCACTCAGCTGAGACCTGCCTACACATCTCACCCTGCCTTCCCCACCATGTTTCTGTCCCCAGCCCAGGCCACCGCAGCCTTCCAGGCCCGCTATGCGGATATCTTCCCCTCCAAGGTTTGCCTACAGTTGAAGATACGAGAGGTGCGCCAGAAGATCATGCAGGCAGCCACGCCCACGGAGCAGCCCCCTGGAGCTGAGGCCCCTCTCCCTGGACCGCCCCCCACTGGCACTGCTGCTGCCCCTGCCCCGACTCCCAGCCCTGCTGGGGGCCCCGACCCCACCTCTCCCGGCTCGGACTCTGGCACGGCCCAGGCTGCCCCGCCACTGCCTCCACCCCCAGAGTCAGGGCCTGGACAGCCTGGCTGGGAGGCGGCCCCCCAGCCCTCTCCCCCACCCCCAGGCCCCTCTACAGCTGCCACAGGCAGGTGAGGGAACCTTGGGAACATCCCAGGACTCACAGTACCCCCCTCAGGACATGGACAGCGTGTAGGTGGCAGGAATCGGGGGACAGGATGGTTCCTCCTCCCCAGCAAAGCCATTTCGTCCTTTCCAGTTTGGGGCGGAATGAGGCCTGCTCCTCTTGTATATACCCCCTCCCCCCACAGTTCCCTCCCTGTGCTGGGGGGCAGCTGAGGGGACGCAGGGGCAGTGTCCCTCCGAGCCCCTGTACATAACCTGGACTGGAGTGTGTGACCTTCAGAGCTTTTCACTATATGCAAAATGGCTCGTGTAAGGGCTGCAAGCTGGAGGGTGGTGTGGGCCTCGGGCCACAGGGAGGTGCCTGTGGAGTAGGGGGGAGTTCATGCACCCCTTTTTTCCCCAGAGGGGCTGGACTCAGGTTAGTTTGGGGGTGGGGGCTCCTGCACTTTGCCACAGGCATGGGGAGGGTTCTCTCCCCACCCCCTCTGCCCTCCCAACTTGGGTTGTACTTTCTAAGAAGGTGATTCCCCTACCCTCACCCCATCCCCAGAACAAAACATGTTGATCATGTGCAATATTTCTTACTGTGCCGAGAAGCCGCAATGACCGCGATTAAAGCTGTTTAACACACTCGTGTGGCTGCCTGTTCTGCATGGGAAGGGGTGTTGGTTGTGCCAGTCCTGTCCCCAGACTGTCATGGAGTGATGGAGGGGTAGGCTTCCCACAAGGTGGGGCAAGCAATTCCAGGACCACCACGCCCATCGCAGGGACCCTGTGGACCAGGCAGCTCTCTGCGGCCTGGGAGCCCCAGTGTTCAGGGCCCCGCGACACTTGCTTTGCCCCTTTCTCAGCCATGCAGTTGGCAAAGGCAGCCTGACACAAGGGGCCACAAGAAAGGCAGTTGACCCTTACTGGCTATGGAATCATTTTACTCAACAAACGCCCCCAGAGGTGCTGGCCCAGAGGCAGCACTGGGTGGGAAGACTAGTCCGCCCTGAGCCCTGCTGCCACCCTGTGGCCTGGGCCGGCACTGCGGGCAGACTAGAAGGAGCCTCGCCTGGGTTACGTCCCTTCCACTCAGCATGTGGACACAGCGACCACCCAAGGAGATAAGAGATACCCACATCCAGTGTGGAGGGACAACTATGCCTCCATAGGAAGTGGCATCTAAGCCAGGGCCAGAGCACCGTAAGTTTCAGTAAGGGGAATAGCACATGCAGAGATTGGAGGGGCAACTTATGGTGGGCTCGACTGTGTTGGGTCGCTATGTTCCCAGAATTCTTGCTTGACTTTGCTTCTATGGCGTAGTGCTGGCCAGCTGGTTTCCCCTAATGTACACCGATCGGTAGCACCTGCCTGAAGCACACTATTGTGATAGCGGAAATTCACCTGAGTCCGCAAGAACCAAAGTGCCTCGGTGGATTAGCGACGCTGGCCTTGGGCAGAAATAGAACCACCCTGCGGAACTGCAAGGTCACAGATCAGGGCAAGGATCTGATGGTGGTACCCAGGCAGGCTTGACCACAGAGCCGGAAACAGGAGACTGAGGAAGGAGAATTTAATGTGGGAAGGTAGGATGCTTAGGGAGTGGGCTCTGGCAGGGGAACACCTTGGCCCTGGTCTTGGGCCAGCAGACGCAGAAGCAAGGAGTGCAGGGACCGGCAGACGGGTGTGTAGCCCAGGCGGCTCAGATGCAGGTAATCGTACATGTCATGGTGGCTTATGGTGCCATCCGAGTGTACAAAGCCAGGGTCAGCATCCAGGAAGTGGGCCCGAGGGTGGCCAGCCAGTGCTGCCCGAACCAGCTCATTCACCTGTCGGTTCTTCTCCCGAAGCGGGTTGGGATGCTGGCCCCTTGGAAGCAGGCCCTGAGGAGGAACACCAAGGGTCACAGGAGAATACGCTAGGGATGGGAGAGTGGGGAGGGTGGAAAGGTAGTTCCTAATACCACGTCTCAGCCCCCATTCAGCAAGAAACTTCTGGGTGCCCGCCTCTTTCCAAGTATCACTCATGAACATGTTGACATGGCAAAGGGCTAACCCCTCCTTTTAGATGTCCCATTTCTAAGTGATGGAGCCTAGATTCACCCCAGAAATGGATGCCTGACAACTTTTGGCTATCCGAGTGGTTCTTTTGAATTCTTCCACACCCCCAGAATCTCTAGCAGTGCCTTGGACAAAAGGGGTTCACTGGTCCCTGAACGTGTCCTTAACCACAGCCGCTTTGAAATGTGCGGCAAGTTTCCACGTGAGATTTTGCCTGAAAGCCACTACTCTATGCCAAGTTGCCCAGGACTGCGCCAGCTGTGGCTGCCTCTGAGGGGGTCCCAGACCACGGTCATTCTTTCTTTCCCGCCCTCCCGGCCTCTCACCAACACCACGACCCGGGCCTGGGGCTGCCGCTCGTTCACCAGTTGCACAATGGCTTTGATGCCGCCAGTCACCTGCTCTGCTGTGTGCCCGTGGTTGTTGGTGCCCACCCAGACCACCACAATCTGTGGAAAGAGGGGCATGAAGCGGTGGTAAGGGGGCAAGCAAAAGGTGCTTTAGAGCCCCATCCCAGCCCCACTCACCTTGGGCCGGATATGTTCCAGCTCCCCATTCTCCAGCCGCCACAGCACGTGCTGTGTGCTGTCACCACCAATGCCAAAGTTAAGGGCATGCAGAGGAGAGAAGAGCTCCCGCCAGATCTGTGAACGAGACGTGGTGTGGGCACAAGGGCACTGTCAGCGTGGACCACCAGCCTCTGCCCAAGTGCCAACCAAATGCCATTATGGAAGAGCCTTGCTTTATGGAAGCATTGTGGTTAAATCTCACCTGGAGCAAACTCCCATACGATCAAAACTCGCTTCATAGAATTCTATTATAGTCTCACTTTAAACCAAACCCCATGGAAGCAAGGCTCACTTTATGGAAACCCAGTCTGCTTGGGCCATGCATTGAACCATTACAGCTGAAACTTACATTGAGGAAAGCTATTACATTTGAACATCATTTAGTGGAAAGATACTATGATTCAGCCCGCTCTGTGGAGCACCACTATGGCTGACCTTCACTTTCTATAAAGCGACTATAGCTTTGTGCAAAGCCAACACGGCTGTGCACTACTTAGAGCAAACAATAAAGAGCCTCACCTTAAGACAATCTTCTGGCAGGAAAGGCTCATTTCAAGTCTTAGTATACACAGATCCAATTTGACAAAGTCAGAACACACATTTCCTTCTCAATAGAATATGACAACTTACAACGAGATTTTCGGCTACCTGAGGCCATTTTGGGTATCCCATATCCCACCCGGCCTGGGTTCTGGTCCAGATGTGTCAGACAGGGCACAGGCCCGGGTGGGGTGGGGCAGGAGGAGAGGGATGGGCCTCACCTCACACTGGTGCATTAGCTGGACTAAGGAGTCCCCGATGAAGACGACTTCAGGTTCCTTGTCCTTGCTGTCCGCCACGAACCGATGGTGCTGCGGGGACGCACGAGAGAGAGTCAGAGGCACGCACGCTCCCCTGGGCCAGCCGCCCTGCTTCTTTAGCCGGCACCACCCCAACGGCCCTCAGTTTCTCAATCAGGTAGTGAGAGCAGCACGCATCGGCCGTTCTCTTGAGGCCCCCCCCACCCCGACCTGGATTCCCGAGTAACCCAGGAGGGCTCGCTCACCAGGGACATCCAGCGCCCGTCGCCCTGCACGTCCTGCACCGGCGTGGGCTTGCTGGCCGGGTTCTCCTCTCCGCTCATCTTGGCGCCGCAGCTCCTGCAGGGTAAGCGAGAGGTCGGCAAAGCTCCAGGAGGTGGTGCTCAGCCACGCCCACCCCTACCCCTCCAGGCAACAAAGGACGGTCCGACGCGCGCACTCCAGCGAAAGACGAAGGCCGATCCAGGGCGCCGCCTCCTCTCCAGGGACGAAAACCTTCACTTAGGAAGGAGGTGGAATTGGGAACCCTCGCCTCCCCCACGTCGGCTGCGCAGTGGGCTCGTCCGGCGCTTCCCGCCGGGGCCACTGACTCACCCGCAGCGGCGACGGCGAGAGCAGCCCGGGCCCCGGGAGAAGGGGCAGGCCAGACCATCCAGCACCCGCGGCGGGGAAGAGGGAGAAACCACCCACTGGCGTCAGGAGGAGGGGCGAACTACCTGAAAAGCCGGGAGTGGGCGGGGAAAACCTAGCGCTCTTCCTGGGAGGAAGAAACCACTTGCTGTGGATCGAGAAATGTGCGGAAGGGACCACCTCCTGGGGAGAGGGGTGCCCCATTCACGTGGTGGGGGGAGGGGAGTGAGTGGACGAGTCCATCCTTGGAAGCCTTGAGGGGGTGGCTCATACGCACCTGGCTAGGAGGCGACGCTCCCAGTTTCTACTGATGCGGGGGACAGAAAAAGAAGATAGCAAAATGTGAAAATTAGAGGCTCGGTTCTGAGGAGACACTCTAAGGCAATGCCGGGGCTTTAGAGCCTTATCTGCTCGTGGGCTTCCCATTAGTTTTTTTGTGTGTGGCATAACATCTAAACCACATTCTTTTTGCATTCAAGACACCATGGGACCTGTGTGGAAGGTAGAAGGTACAGAAAGAGAATGGAAATTAGAGACGTCTGCAGGGCCCAGGTCCAGTCTGGCGCCCCACCCGCAGATCATCTTGCAGATCTGTGGCCTCTGCTCCCCTCTCTAAACCCAAGGGCCAACCAAGAACTTCATTTGGGTGTGTCTGAGCTCTGAAACCCACATCCACAGCCGAGGCCACCTAGGGTTGCGCCTCGTCCACCCCAAATTAATTTCAGACTTCAATGTCTTCTCTGATCTCTCTGTTTTCAGGGACCAGGTGGGGTGTCTCACTATCCCCCTAAACGTCCTGGTCATTTTCCTGTAGCCTCACTCCCAGGTTGAACCTTCTCTTCTATTCATTCCTTCTAGATAGATTAGTACTGAGACATAGAGATGAGTCTTATTTATTGTTTTTTTATTTAATTTTTTTTAATGTCTGCCCTTTGTGAACAAAGAATCTTATTTATTGTGTTTTTGTTCTGCTTCAATCCACTTCCCTGAAATGGACTTGGCCCATGGTGGCTGCTCAACAACTACTTGCTGAATGAATATTAAATGAATGGGTCAGATCCTGGCTTTGTGCAAGTGTGATCCAGGAGACAGATTCAGACACAGAACTTTCTGGGGGGGAGGGGTCAAAGTTGTGATTGAGGGAGGTACAGAGGACTTCTGGGGAAGAAGGAGGAGAAGGACTTAGAACTAGGAGCTTCCTAGAAGTAGTATCTGAGCTGGGTTTGAAAGATAAGGAAGATTGGGCAAACAGAAAGAAAAGACATAATATCACTTTCTTATTAGGGCGTGGTGAATACCCTGGAATGGCTTTATTTATTTATTTATTTTTTTAGAGATGGATCTTGCTTTGTCACCCAGGCTGGAGTGCAGTGGCCCATCATAGCTCACTGCAGCCTCCAGCGCCTGGGCTCAAGCCATCCTCCCACCTCAGCCTTCCAAATTGTTAGGATTGCAGGCATGAGCCACCTCGCCAGGCTTGATGTTAAAGCCTCAGGGGACAAGTGTAGACGGATAAGTTGTAGAGTTAGAGGGGCAGTTGCTGAAGCAAAGCATAGTGGAGAAACAAAGCTTTCATTCATTCATTCACTAGGCACTGTTTCGAGTTAGATGTGCTGATTTATTTCATGCTTCTAGCAACAGTATGAGGGAGATACTATTACCAACCCCATTTTACAGATTAGGAAACTGAGTCTCTGAGCAATTACAAACGTTTCCAAGGTCACCCAGCTCATATGCACCAGTTTCGGCATTTCAACCTAGCTTAGCTCTACATCACACTATACTAATTTTTTTTTTTTTTTTTTTGAGACAGGCTCTCACTCTGTAGCACAGGCTACAGTGCCCTGGCGTCATGATAGTTCACTGCAACCTCAAACTCCTGGGCTCAAACGATCCTCCCGCTTCGGCCTCCCTAGTAACTGAGAGTACAGGCGCGCGCCACCACGTCCAGCTAAGTTTTCTGTTTTTTGTAGAGAAGGGAAGTCTCGCTCTTGCTCAGGCTGGTTTCAAACTCCTGGCCTCAAGCGAGCCTCTCACCTCAGCTCCCGAGGTGCTAGGATTACAGGCGTGAGCCACTATGCCCTGCTGACACTATACTAATTCTATAGGGATGAAGTGTGTGACTGCCTAGGGACTGTTTGAGCAGAGGGGTTACCATCACCCTTTTCCCCCTCCTGCCTCGCCTCATCTTGCCCTCCAAAGACCGCCAATAGCTGTCTAAACCAATCAGCATTCAGGAGGGGGGCGGGCCTTATGAACTTCACAACCAATTGGTGGATGGGAGTTGCTAAGGGCAAATGAGGAGGTTTCTGAAAGTGAGGCTGGGAGGGGCGGGGCTATAACGGGCACTCGTGGGCCCTTGGCACGTGCCCCTGAGCCTCCGTCCTCTCTCGGTATTTGGGACCCGAGAAGCCAAAGGGCGTGGGAGGGGCACGCGCATGCGTATGGTGCGACTGAGTCCGGAAGAGCGCCAGGGGACTTCGAGAGCTGGGGTCACGGAGGAAAAGAAGCCATTGCATCCCACAGGCACGTGGGGCAGGAGGGGAGTGGGGATCTTTGGGGCAGGAGAGGGTGAGGGGCCCTTCCCCAGCCCTGTCCCCAGGAACTGTACCCCACTCCCTTCACTCTGCCCGCTGCTCTACCTCAACTGCCCGACCCTGCTTTCCCCTCGTACCCTCTGCCTCCGCCTCACGACCAGGCCCCTGTCCTTGTTAGCTCCTCTGCCTCCCTTTCTGTTTTCCCGAGGTTTTCTCTTGCTGTGCTCTCTCCTGCCTTTCTTTCTCTACCGTCTCTCTCCACTTTTTGTATTCTCCCATATCTCCTGGATTTCTCCCTTGCCCGAATCCCTTTCTGGTCCCCGAAATCCCTCCGATCTCACGACCCTTCCCCATCCTCCATCTTTTAACTATTTCCCCATGTCCCTGTTCCCA